AAGCGAAGCCAAGATGTATATGATGTACGAAATCGTAGTGATAAATTATAATATTACTGGGTAGTATTTGGATTTTGTACAAGGACAATCAATCTTGTCTATCTTTACTGTGCGTTCGTCCATTTTCGATTTCAGGCGTGGATGATTTCTTCACGCTTTTGATCTCGATGACTTTCATATCAAGATTGACGCGGAACTTTTTCCCTCTCCACATTACTGTTGTTCCACCAAGACATGCCCATATCCAAATAGGTAGGGCAAGGATTTCTCTGCCGAGCCATGCAGATGCCCATTCTTTGAAGGGTCTTCTAAATCTTGTCTGTGGAGGTCGTGCAAAGGAAGGCGTATTTGCATCCAGCTCAACTGATGACCCAGAATGAAGGTGAGAATAGACAAACCAATCAAGGGTCATCCACGCGGCAACATTTGACAACCAAACCAAGGTAAAAGCAAGCCATGTCTGAGGCACACTTAGATTTTCATGAAACCAAGGTAGTGTTGTGATTGCGAAAGAACCATAGGCTGAGCATAAAAGGGGTTCAACGCCAGGTTCAACAAATGTGGCCAGTGTAACGGTCCATTTTCGGACTCTGAGCCAACGTACTCGGCGTGCGATGTATTCTCGAACTGACATACCAGCCATTGGTTGTATAGCCAAGTCACCAGGAACCAAACCATGTTTGTGCCACTTTTCTCCAGCCTCCTCTTCCGGTACCTTCTTTCGCCATAACAAGTCTCCAATTAAATGATCTTCGCAAATATTTTCCGAGAAAAAGTCTATCCCTGGAGAATAATCAGGAGATGTTGAGGTGAGGTAGTTTAGATGAGATCGCCTGAACATATTTGATTTGCCAACAATACATGGCGCAACTGACACCGTGTTGATTGCGGTGTAGAACTTCGCGTGCGAGGACGCCATAAAGGATTCTTCAAACCGTCCACCACCAATTCTTGCGCCTGCGTCGAAATTAGACTCGTTCTTGGGAACATTTGTAATGTTAGAGGCCAATGAATTCGTAGAAGTAATTTGTTGCCCGGCTGTGAGAAGTTGTTCGGTCTCCCCACCCGTGCTGGTTCCAGCTGTATCTACAACCAATGGTAACAAGTGGACGAATTTATACGGTGTTGTCCTTGTGCCATCTGCCTTCAACCCACACAACTTGTCGACCATTCGTCCAGCAGCACCGGTTCCAACCCAAACATTACAATCGAGGATCCATACGATATCTCCCTTTGCCTCTCTGTATCCGCGACTCATATTCCGAATCTTAGGATTGGGTCCAAGGTTGCCGATTTCTCCTCCATGGCCGCTCAAGTTTGGATCTTCTTCTTCAATGAAAATTTTCGCATCAAATTGGGGAAAGTCCGCCAGCAGACGTTGAAGAACTGGGAATGCGGGATCTGTGGATGACCCAACACAGAAGTATATTGTTAACTTATTTCCTGGGTATGTCTGTCTGAATGTGGCCGCGAGGCATTCGTATAATTGTGGCTCTAGTCCTTTCACTGGTCGTAGAATCGTAATCTGGGGAATGTCATCGCTATCTAAATTAGGAGAGATGGCAGGCTTAGGAACGGAAGAGTAGTAGCGAAACCTTAAAATACATATATGTTAGATTACAACAGGGCTAAAGCAGTATGAACTGGAAATCTTACAATTGAGTAGAGCCTATAGCTTGTACGAGTAGAATGAAGAAATACCAAGTCCAACACGCCAAGGCTATGATGTATATCAAAGTTTCCTCTTCCATTGCAAGATGCGAGACAGTTACCAGAACTGGAGTTAACAGCAGGAGCTTTCGAGAGTAGGATGAGGTCCTCCGCCCAATTCCATCGATGATAGTATGAATACGACTGAAGTCCTTATGGTTCCACGACAATCAGGTCGGTTATGGGTTTATGTGAAAAGACATAGAAATCAAGTCTCAAACCAAAAGTTGTTCCACGCTTTCTTCCTCTGCGCTCGTACCGACAAAATATTGTTGAATCTTGAAGATTACGTAATATCTAATCATGCGTTTATGCATTAGATATGCGTGTGTGTAGTGAAGGAGAGCAGAGAGGAGCTTGGATCAAGCGGAAGTTGCCGATAAAAGATTTATTAGTGCGTCTTCAAAACTCGAAATCTCTTCCACTTAAGAAAAAAAATACTTTTTTCAACTTCATCAACATCACCACAATTGTTTTCAAGAATTTCATCGACCACAACATCTTCTCCCACCAGAAGGAGAAGAGTTTTGGTAATTTGTAAGTTATCTATCCCTTTCATTCTACTCTTTTCTGGTCCGGTATATACCATCTAGACGGTTCAATTCAATTTGTCTGTCATGCAATGCGGTGATGACTCAATTCGATGCTTAGAGTGACGGCTCTGACTTTGTTCGTCCTTTCTGTACGCTCAATTCTCTTCGGAGAAGACTACAACGGTATCTGAGCATTGCAAATATCTATATCTTCTTGATCCAATTGGCACCAAAATTCTACCCAACCGACACTAACCATTGATTCATTACAGGAAATCGCAATGACCTCACGATAGCCTCATCTTTCAATCATGTCAGACACAAATGTAGTGACTCCGACTGGTGCTCCAATTGAGATCACAACTCCCACAAACCCAAAACATGTTGGACCTAGACCGCCGTCTAAGTTCCAGCAATTGAACAAACTTTACGGGCTTCCTGCTCCCATCCGAACCTTTCCTCTTCCTACTCTCATACCCCACAATCCACTTTCACTTTTCCATATTCTTTATGTTTGGTTGTCACATACAATCAATCGTCCTTCGTCACATTTTGATACCCTTTACCAAGGATGGTTCTCCCCTGAAACCCGATCCATTCACATAACAGACTCTCGGTCTATCAGAGGTCTCTGGGAGCAAGGTTTCTATGGGAAAGGAAGTCTGAGTCGCAGTGAACCGAGTTGGCTGACGCGAGAGAAAAAGCGACGGGGTGTTTCAAAAGCGATTGCAAGCGAGGACGTTACAAGAAAACGTCGTGCCGATCGTCAACAAACCAAGTGGGAGCGGGCGAGAAAAGAAAGAGAAGCTATTGATCAGACTTTATTGGCAGAAGCACAGGCAAAGGAATTAACCAAAACCAAAATTGCTGTTCCATCTGAAGAGAGTTTAATAGTCGAAGTTGACAATCTCCCCGCTTCTGCTGAGCCAAATCAGGATGCCGCAATTGCCGAAATAACTCTTTCGCATGGCTTAGATAGTGTAGATAATGTTGCTTTAACTAGCATCACATTATCGGAGGCGCCTACTGGACCAATGCAGCTTCTTGCTCTACCTAACTCCTCTATCGAAGTCATAAAGACTCAAGCCAACAAGGAGCCTTTGTCTCGCAGTGCAGTGGACGTCGATAAGGTTGCGTCTTCAAATGTCGCGTCATTCATCGCACCTACCGGACCTTTGGGCATTCTTGCACTGCCAAACTCTCTCGTAGAACTCAATCTTTTTAGACATCAAGATAGTACCAATCTGTTGGTCTCACCAAAGATTACCACAATTGTTGAAAAATCAGTGTCTAAGTCATATGTACCCTCAGCCCCGGTTGGTCCTCTGGAATTGCTAGCTCTCCCAAACTCCGCAGCGGAAGCTTTCGCAACCTGTGAGGAATCGAATCCTGATATCGAAGCAGATCAGGCCTCGAAACAATACATCGGTCACTCAACATCTATTGAGGTTGATGACAGCCCAGTCACAACACAAGAACAATTTGCACCCGTTGGCAGCTCAACACCCATTGCCCCCAGCGTTGATGCCAATGTCATTGACGCTCCGTCGACACCAGCCTCCACTGTTTCTGTTCAGAACAGTGCATCCGATGGTGATGTACCTGAAAACGGTTCATCTACATCTGTATCAGATCGCCAGAAGAGTGTTCGATTTTCCCCGACCGTGGAACAAACTACCTTCTTACCATCGCAACCACCAAGCCCTGGGCGTACTATAGCCAGTACCGAAGAGAAGCCAGAAGCAATCTCTGAACTGGTCCTGGATGAGGATATGGTCATTGAAGATAAAGAACATCTTCAATTAACAATGGAAGAGGCTTTCTTTCTCTCATATGGGTTAGGAGCTCTTACTGTCCTTGATCCCTTCAGCAAACTCGCACTTTCGAATCAAGATTTGTTTTCACTATTCAGAAAAACTTCCTACTTCCCACCAACTTCCAACCCGAGTCTATCAACGGATGATCCATTCCTCGTGAATTACGTCGTTTATCATCATTTCCGTTCACTGGGCTGGGTCGTGCGTGGTGGAACAAAGTTCTCGGTTGATTATCTACTCTATAATCGTGGGCCAGTCTTTAGTCATGCTGAATTTGCCGTTTTGATCCTTCCATCATACAGTGATCCTTACTGGTCCAGTGGTCCATTCTTGCAAAATTATGTTAAATGCAAACAGGAAAGAAGCTGGTCATGGATGCATTGCATCAATCGAGTCATTACACAGGTTAAAAAGACTTTGATTTTAGTTTACGTAGATATACCCGCACCTGTCGATGGAAATATGAAGGACAACAGCATTGATGAATTACTTGGGAAATACAAAGTGAGGGAAGTTGTCCTCAAACGTTGGTCACCAAATCGTAGTCGGGACTAAAGGTATATAAAACTCATACATATGTATCATAAAAAAAATTCAAAATACCACATCTTCAAATTTCACACTCATTGCTATATGATTCCAATTCAAATGACCATGCCCTACTCTTCCTGATCACATGAAACATAGACCACAACAACGTTACATTCATGTCTATTTATTTCTTATCACTTTACATGAATCTACCTAATAAACGCACGTCGAAAGTGGAGTAAGAGAAGCGATCGTCACTGTGCCCCTCGATTCATGACTTATCAAACCAATGATTGTAATGTTTGCGTTGCACTGCATATCATTTGTCCGTCAACGTGCGTTTTCTTGACCAAGTAATTTGGACTGGATGGGGGAAAGAGTGCCGATTTATTAGACTTTGGGATTTTGACGGTCTGTGCCTAGGTAAGAAGCTATCTACCATTCTACAATAAGGTCGAAAGTTATATAAACCTTTTCCTGTGTGCAATCTTTTGCTTTGATGCATTCTTACTAAATAGTAGATACGATTTACATATCTTATGTCGTTAGAATAACAGATGAATGACTTTAATGATCGTTTCTTTCGTATCGCTTTTGTGATCAACTTTGATATCCTTACAGAGATAAAACCATTCTTCATCAATAATATCCCAACATGGCGAAACCAGTACCAAAAGACACCGAATTAGATGCATGGAAAGATGCACCGAACGTAGATGCATCTATTCATGGCAAACAACAACAACAACAACAACAACATGAACGTGAAGAACCATCCACGAAAATAAAAATAGTTCAAAACATCGCCCTCGCAGATGCGACAGCAAAACAAAAACCGAGTCTGTGGACATGGAGAATGGGTCAACTCTATTTTATTCTTTTCCTAGCCACGCTAAACGCGGCAGTCAATGGATACGATGGGAGTGTGATGAGCTCGATCAATTCGTATGCGCAGTATAGGAGTTACTTTGGATTTGATCTTACGGAGGGAACGCCGGCGACGGGCATTGTGTATGCAATGTTTACGATTGGGAATTTGGTGGGGGCGGGGTTTGCGGGTCCGGCGGCTGATGTAGGTTTTTTTTTTTCTTTTGTAAGGACTTGTTGGAAGAAAGAGAGAAGAGGGGTGAGAGAATGAGAGAATGAGAGGGTTGGAAGATTGAATGAGAAGAAGATGCTAATGGAAATGACTACGTTAGTGGAAAGGAAGACGGTGGGGTATGTTTTTAGGCGCGGGAGTTATTATCGTGGGAGCCATTGTGCAAGCTACGAGCCAGAATTTGGCGGCTTTCATGATTGGAAGGTTTATGCTGGGTACGTATCTGGTAGCATCTATGTGGCATTCAAATTTTCAGAAAGCTGATTTCCTAAGGTGTCGGCGCAGCAATGGGTCCTAGTTCTGCGTTACCCTAGTAAGTGCATACTGAGTCTTTGAAGTGGAAGGAGAAGGGAACAGACAAGTCTCACAATATATAGTGTAAGCGAGATGGCGCATCCATCTTTTCGAGGCGCGATGACGGGTGTTTACACGACGTTTTACTTCGTGGGCGCTATTCCTGGGACATTCAGTTAGTATATTCTCCATTCCTATTTCTAGAACAAGTGCTGAGGTTGATAGTACCATATGCTACGAGCTACATCAATGGATCTCAAGCTTGGAGAATTCCGTTGTGGTTGCAGATGACGTTTTCGGGAATTGTGTTTCTTTTGGTGCTGTTCTTACCAGAGGTAAACATTCTCTTTTCTTCGAGAATCCGACGCTGGGGAGATGATAAAGAGAGACACTAACAAGATACTCAGAGTCCAAGATGGCTGGTAGCAAACGATCGACACGAGGAAGCACTTACTATCATGGCCAAATACCACGGCGAAGGCGACCGTAGTTCTCCTTTAGTGCAACTCGAGCTCCGCGAAATGATGGAGGAGATCTCCAAAACGGGTGCGGATAAACGATGGTGGGATTTTAGAGAATTGTTTGATTCGAGGGAAGTTCGTTATCGTACTATGTTGACTTGTGCGATTGCGCTGTTTGGTCAGTGGACCGGGAATGGTATGTGCGGTTTTTACATCTTATTCTGAGTTCTGTAGGAATTTTTGTAGGGTGGGAGTTCAGGGTTAATATTTGAGTAGGTCCTGTTAGTTACTACTACCCCCAAATGCTAGCAGGTGCAGGAATAGAAAATAATCACACCCAATTACTTCTCGTAAGTCCTACATTCCTTCATCCCCCATAAAAAGTGCAGAACTCACCAAAACTAGCAAGGCATGCAATCAGTCCTCTCCTTCATCGGTGCCCTCATAGGAGCAGCCTACACCGACCACTGGGGCCGGCGTCCCCAACTCCTCATCTCCACCTCCCTCATCTCCCTCCTCTTCCTCATCATACTAATCCTCAACGCCCTAAACACAATCACCGATCCCGATACTCATCTCACAGTCGCTAAATCAGCAGCAGCATCCAATGCTGAAATCGCCATGATTTTCCTCTTCTCTTTTGTGTTTGCGGTGGGTTGGACACCCATGCAGGGACTTTATGCCGTGGAGGTATTGAGGTATGAGAGTCGAGCGAAGGGAATGGCGGTTTATACTTTGGTGGGAAATGTGGCCGGGTTTTATAACACTTTTGTGACGGGGATTGCGTTTAGTGGGGCGGGGTGGAGGTATTATTATTTGTGAGTTGTTTCTGGTGATGCTTTGAAGATTCAGGGTTTGCCGTTTGAGGTCTGAGAGTGTGCTGATTGTAGCTTAGGTTTGTATTCTGGGATTTACTCGAAGTGGCTTTCATATACGTAATTTTCCCTACGTCGTCCTCTCATCTTCCCATCCTCATCTCCCACACACCAGAACAAACAAACTAACACCTTATAGTTCTTCTTCGTAGAAACAAAAGGTAGAACAGTAAGTACCACCATTCTGCTCCCATTCATCTCAGTTTCCCAATCCAATCTGTATAATCCAGCACCATAAGCTCTGAGCTTTGACTAACAGTCATGAAATCATAGCTCGAAGAATTAACCGAGATTTTCAATGCTGCCAAACCAGTCAAATACTCGTTGAGGAAATCGGAAGTGGTTATTCATGGCGATGAAGGTGTAACTGAGGTATTGGAGAAGGAAATGGGAAAGGAAATTTTGGGGTGAGGTGAGGTGAGGTGGAACATTGATAAAGATATGGGTAGTGGATGTTGTTTGTGATGGTTAGAGATTCGGCGATCGGTTTTCTGGAACTGAATAGTAGTTATAGAGAGAAGCGTTTAACGATTTTGAGCAATTTGATTTTTCCTCGTTTCTTGATATCAGCGTAGTGCAAATGTATGAACTAGTTGATAAACAATGAAGACTGATATTGGAATATTAAATAAATTATTTGACGACATAATATTTAAATCATCTTGATGCTAGATGTATAAAGATCAACTATAATCTTGTATATTACGAAAACTCCACGATGAAGGAGACAAACACTCCTTGTTTTTCACCCTCGCCATCCCTCCCATCGTATTTCTGCATTCCATAAACCCTCATATCCAAATCTCACGTCGTAACTATATGCGCAGATAACCTCTCTCTCCTCTTCTGCTCCATCAAAACTCCAGTAAACGCACCAACCATCGCTCTTCTCCCTCTTCCCGTATTCTCCCCACTCTGATCCGCATCTACAGTTGTTCGTTCCGGTGAAGTTCTCAAAAACCCATCTTGATCGTACAGCCCCAAACTTTCAGGACTATCTCTTCCTCTATCCCAATCGCTATCTACCACGTTCTCTTTATCCCTAGTTGGACTTCTACTCAATCTTTCTCTTGCTACATTTACCGCTTGACTCCATCCCCACTTTGGTGGTGTTTTGGAGGTGGGATGTTCCATTTTACTTTCTCGACGAGTGGTTTTCGTGAGAGGCTTGATCATTGCGTCGGACCAGCGAGTATCTTTGGTGTCTTTGGTTGCTTTTACTTCCTTTTCTATATTTGTCTTGGTTTTCGATAACGACAAGGGTTCAATAACAATTTCATCCTCATCGTCATAGTCCATCATATAACCGATTCCCCCATCAGGAAGGATAGTCAGATTCGTCAAAGATAGTTTCTTTTCCTTGACGTTTAACCCATGTCTTCCCATTGCTATTGGACTGCTGCCTCTGGTGCTTGCACCTCTGCTTCCCTCACGACTGGCATTGATATCCTCAATTATCTCTTGCAGATTTCCGTAATTGGGATTCATTAAGTCACTTCTCGACTGGCGTCTCTCACCAATACTGTTGACGCTAGTACTTGAATCATTTCCCTGAGGAAAATACGAGTTGGAATATGCAGAATAAGAATTCGGATAAAGTATACTGAGTGAGGATCGGTGACTTGGAACGGCTGCACCATCGATAGGTGAACCAATTGAGAGGTAATAGCGAGATGAACGACTCGTACGATGACGCTCGCTCCAGTCAAGACCAATTCCAGGTACCATCGGAGAAGAATCAGTATCACCGGCACTGATACAAGAAATCTCAGAGTTCATTCGACGTAAGAGACCAATGCTCGTGGCGATTGATTCCCGAGTGGAGTTGGGCGTATTTGATGCAAGAGTGGTCATGGCAGTGCTAAATGACCCGGATTTGTAAGGTTCTGGTCGGGGCCCGGTTAGATGGACAGGAATTGGTAAAGGTGGGCTGAGGACTGGTGGTGCGGGTAAGGATGTGGACGGAATAGTCAATGGAGACGGAGGTTTTGCGCGCGAGAAAAGTCTGGGGCCGAGAACCAATGCATTGTTAGAGGCATTAGTTGAGGACTGAGAAAAGCGTGCAGAGCTGGGTGGTCGATTATTTGGAATCTCATTGAAGGACACCCGTCTAGGGCTTGACGCTCTTGAGTTCGTAATAGCCGAAGCTGACATTCGGGAAAAACTCGACGGGTTGCTAGCTAGTGATGGCGGACATTCAGATCTCCAAGATTCCAGAACATCAGGGTGATGAATTTTGTTTTCTCCAATGATCGGTTCTGGTGGGGGCAGTGCCGGAAACGAAACCAAAGTATCCGTTGGGGTATCAGGGCTTATGATTTCTTCATCAATGTTCTGTATGTGACGACGGACTTGGGACTTCATAGCAAGTGATGATCGGGCGTGTTTGAAGAACTCAACTTCAGAATTCAAGTTCTCAGCATAATAATTACAAACTGATAATGTTGGGGAATATTCATCGGAGTTTGTCGACCCAGATACAAATCGTTCTGTTGGCTTCAAAGGAGGAGCGCTGAGAATGGAGTTGACTTTTGAAGGTGGTAGCGTAGAGGTATATACTTCTCGTTCGGGTGGCGTATGTATTACCACTGGTTTGAGTTGTGGAATATTGAAAGTTGGGTTAATTCTCAAAGGAGGCGGTGTCGCGGACCTTTCACTACTCAGTGACACCTGTCGTGAGCCTGGCTTCAAAGAGGGTATAGAGATACTGGGATTGAAGGTAGAAGTTGACGGGGGTCGAGGCATAGCACTAGACCGTCGGCTAGCGAGTGAAGCACACGAAGGACTTGGTTCCACTACACGAAGAGTTGGTCGAGATATTATCATTGTCATGCCAGGAGAGTCCCCTTCCGATTCTTCATGAACCACACTAACACTTGTTGGTCTAGATAAACCAGACATTCGTATCACATTCGAACGTTTATGTCCCTTTCTCTTCGATAAGATCTTATTAGGACTTGCTGTCATTGGTCGATTTTGCATAGCTTCTTTTGGTGACCACTGGAACGGGTTGAGCTCAGTTGATGTTAGAGGAGATCGAGGTTCCGTGACCAGTGGCGCTTTTCGATTTCCTGAAATATCCTTTAATGGCAAGTCGCCATGATGCATTGCTTGCTCTCGTATCTCTTCCTGCCCGAAAGTAGCCTTTCTTATGGAGCGAGGTTGTGGCTCATGAATTGTAGTAGATGGGATGATTTTGGACCTTTTAACCGAGGAGAAGAATGGATCATTTGTGATTGATGTTTTGTATATTCGGTTTGTCTTTACTTCCCTGTTAGAGCCCTTCGTAGGAGAAAGATTCATTTGATGGCGCTGTTCAAATCTTCGTCCACTTTTGCTCGGTGACGTGAGCTGCGCTGGAATTACAAGATCAGGTGTGTCGATGCCACAAAGGCTGTCGTCTGAATCTCCAGATGGTGTCGGTGATCGCCCTCGATTGTTAAATGCTTTACCAGCCGCTCGCGGAACTCTCTTTCCCGGACTTGGAGTTCGTGGTGATTGCATTTCATTATAAGAAGCGATGTCTGATGTAGAGCAATCAGGTGCGAGAAGAACTTCCCTGCTCTCTGTGGCTTTGTTTAACGGTGGACTAGGTAGTCTTTGCTTGGGGGGTGATCCTGGAAATCTCCCTATGTTGCTCCAACTTCTCCTCACGGATTGTCTGTGGGTCTCCCGGAGACGCTGAGATGTTGATTTCAAAATTGATGATAACTGGTTCTCTGAGTTGGATCGACTTCTGCCACGGGGTAGTCTAGGCTCCCCATTGACTATGGTAATATCCTCGACAGAATCCGAATTCTTGACATGGGACTTCCTCGAAAACGTCCTTTTTGGATGTTGTGGTTCCTGGAGAACATAACCTGGTGGGGCGACACAATTGATTCGTATGTTTTTCTCTGATTGGGCTTGTGGAAGTGACGTTGCGGGCGTCTGAATCCTGGATGCCAATGGCCATGAATCTCTGATGCTAGATCTATGCTTCTGGAAGAGGTGCTTAGGCCCGGATGATCTCTTCGTACCCGGTCTGACAATATTTTCATCCTCATCATCGTCATCGTCATCAACAAAGCTTGTGTTCTTCGCCGTACCACGCCGACCTGGGACGTTCCTAGGCGGTAGGTACTGGTAAGGAGTTGCAAATAGAGGAAGTGAATACGGCGATAGATTTTTTCGCCCAGCTGAATTCGTGTTTTTGTCATGTTGAGCCTTGTCTTCGCGAAGTTTGATTGCATTTCGATGATTTCTTTTTACACATGTAACCGCGATAACTCCAAACACGATCAACACGATAGCACCGCCAATAGCGATACCAATAATCCCACCCAACGGTATACTTCCGGATTCTATCGGGATTTCTGCTTCTATAGATGGAGGAGGCATGTTCGAAGTAATAAATTGCACAAGATAATCAGTTGAGGTTATCGCAGAATCCCAAGCTCGATGCTTTCGACGTCCTTTCTTCCGGGGTAAATCTAAACAAATGCGTGTGATACTATATCTGTGAAGAATACTTTCTCATATGATGGCATAATATCTGCACTTGCGATATTACTTTGCTTAGAGGATAGATCGTGATGAGAACTTGATGAAAAGATGATGGTGAAAGGTCGAAAAAAGAAACAACAAACAGAGACTGCCAAGATGTAAAAGTTGTCATGGCAGTTCTGAGAAGGAATGTGTTCTCACATTCCTCATTGCAGCCAAATTGATTTCTCCTGGATATCCCATTGGCATTTGGACAATTTCTCCCTTACACTGAGAGCGATTGGAATGCACCCGATATTTCAATATTAACCGCCCTTGAGGATTGGATCCTCAAGAAACCCCATCACAAATTGAGTTATTTGGTTGACGATTCCTTACCGTTTCTCATATTCCTTAGATACAAGTACGGCTGAAATGAAGTTATTCCGTGTACCTGTTTGAGTATCATCAAGCAAAAAAAGCAAACGACAGTAGTTGTTGATTTCCCTTGCTTAGATGTGAATGACTAAGATTATGTAAGACGCCCTCCTCCCACAACATTTGACGGACCACACTCGAGCCCACCAGCCCCATCTATCTAAATAATCATTTTAAACGAAGATAGCATCGGTCTTGTTACATAGAATTTACTCAATTCTGGCTTTGAGCATGTAGGAACATCAAGCAAGAGTAGGGTAATCGATAGTTAGTTTAATTCTCATTTCGATGTTGAAAAGCAACAAACTGGAGCATTTTCCGTCTGGGGTTTGCAATGAGCTATAGTTATGCCATGTCTTCATCAGGATGAGTCTCGCTAATTGTAACAGAGGGCGATGTATGGGAGAGCTCTCTTAGTGAGGGAATACTTCATTTGATTGATTTTTCTTCTCGCAACTCAGGTGTAAATGTCATATCATTAGACTTAACCAATATCCCTACATCGTACACGCCCCTATAAGTCGACCACCCTACTTTCGAGCCACCCTTGTTTTGGGCCACCCTTTTTGTTACGGAGGTACCCGCATCGCAATATGGATTATAAGATAAACCTAAGGCCTTGGTGTTGGAACCTATGAAAACA